CCAAATTTGGGCCAGATATGGCGGCGCTTCCTCTCCTTGTTATATTTAGCTCCTTGGGCCTACCTAGGAGAGCGCTAGTAGGCACTTCACAAGAGCCCAATCCAAGTTTAGCACCCCGGATTAGTTTAGCATATATGCGAACTACATAATATCCAGGAGTCCCAAACTAGGATTGAGCAAGCTTGATTATCAGCTATGCGTATCAGTGGGTCGCCTATAATGCAGCCCCGTCTCGGCCGTATCTCAGAGCTTAGCCAAACATTCCACGATCGACCTGCTTCCGTGTTTGAGTTGTTATTATGGTAATCTTTATAAAATAAATAGCGATGGCAATCACGGCCGGCGAATCATCGTCTAAATATTGATTAGGACGTCAATATTGATTGGCTCGTAAATATTGATTAGGAATATTGACGTAGTTTAGCGCGCGGCTAGGCGTTTGCAAAACACGACCAACTACAGGCGATTATGCGCCGGAACTCAAGCAATTACAGCTTAGAAAACAAAACCCACCCAGACCGCGTTGATTAGGCAAGATTAAAGAAGAGCAAGAATTCCGGCCACCCATGTATGTATGCACCCGCACTGACACACACACGCACCACACACACAATCACACACACACACACGTACACGCACACACACGTACGTACGTACACGCACACACACGCACGCACGTACACACACACACGCACGCACGCACACACGCACGCGCGCGCGCGCACACACACACACACACGAGCCCGGGTACATGTCTGAGAGTAAGCCGGTGGGTAAGACTTAGGAAAAACGATAAACTGCCTAAAAATAGCATGCGTAATGCTATGGGTACATCTGGGAAAAGGGGACCGAGAAAGAGAGGAGGGAAAGTGGAAGGGAGGGAGAGTAGTAGAGAGAGAGAGAGATATATCGTGAGAGAGCAGAGAGGCACACTGCTGCACGGCTATATATATATATATATATATATATATATATATATATATATATATATTCACATTCCATAATAAAAATCCATTAATTAAATTTCTATTATTAAATATCCAGAAATTCTATTAATTAAATTTCTATTATTAAAATGTTCTCTATTATGGACTCTTGATATATATATAATATATAGTATATATATATATATCTACCTGATGTAGGGAGTGTCGGCTGCCGTGTGGAATTTGGCTCCAGCGTCAAAGTTATACTCTGTACGTATCTAATGTGAGCGATCCCTTGCAGTCTCACATCTGAAACCACGGAATTTCTTTTAAGTATTCTATACATTTACATTACATCTAACTTACGCAATGAAATACGGCTATGATAATATTATCGTATATTATATATTATACTATCATTATAATGTATCGGATAGTATATTATAAATATATATTAATTACTATTATTTATAACCTATCGCACCCCTACCTCACGACCGATTTCCTTGCTATAAACTCGTCCTCTAATTACTCTCACACTCACACCTGCTTACACCACCACCACACACACACCACACACCTACACCACACAACCCCACACACCACATACACCACACACTGACACCACACTACCACACACAACACGACACACTCGCACCGCACTCACACATTGACGCACACCACACACCACCAGCCCACACACACTTGTAATACATATATATATATATCATACTATAGTATATATAAATATATACATATATATATCATGAGTACCATGATAGAAAATGGTACTATCATGGTACTTGGTACATGGTATCATGGTTTCTATCATATAGTCCTCTTGATAATATAGATATAGATACATATATATACCAAGAGTACCATGATATATTATATATATAAATATATATATATATAGCCCACCTGTGCTGCCACCATCTAGCGTTGTACTCGCTGTGTGTGTAGTTTCCCTCGAATATGTTCCATCGGTAGAGATCCATGAGGTAGCCGAACGGAAGGAAGGCAATCTTCTGAAGAGCCACACTCATCAGGAAGTTAATGTCCGCTTCTGCAGGCGCAGATACAGGCAGGAATACAAGCGCAAATGTTAGCAGAAATACAGAGTCAAATAGAAACAGAAATACAAGCGCAAATG